GCCACTCTTAGAAACCAGAGAGTTGTTTCCTCCAGGAAGTCTTCCCTGATAAACCAAGCTGCTGTAGGTGCCCCTTCCCTCTGTTCCCAGAGCTCCCTGGACTTAATCTTTACAGGTTCCTTTCATCCTCATTGTTCTTGTTCTTGAACTTCCATTGAACTCTAAGCTCCCTGGAGGCACAGGGGCTGTCTTCCGTCTGGACCAGATCCAGCTCAGGACATTATGTATGTATGACTGGGTATAGGCTATTCTGGCCTGGGATCTGGAGTTCAAGGGTAGGAATGGGAAGGGCAGGGGCACCAAGAAACCCCACGAGTACGAGGGCAGAGTCTTAAGCACGATAGTACTGGCAACGTCCTCACAGCCAGCATAAATGGGATTGGTAGGTCGCCTCTGAGGGTTTTCCAAGAGCTCCCAGGACGTACGAGGGACGTGTGTGTAGTAAGGAGGTGATGAGTTCATCTAGCCCACAGGCAAAGGCAACTTGGTCAAGATGCTTTCTCTTGAGTTTCTTCCAGGCACGAATAGGCAGGGTGTAAATGAGGAGCATGCGGTGGGCGGGTGGATATCCGAGGCTCCCGCACGGAGCGGGATGCCTGCCACGTCCGGAGAGCATGGAGTTGTGGCCTGGCTGTGCCTTATACCCCCAGCTGGGCGGGCACTGGGGCCACCTCCGCTGCCACGACGTATGTCATACATCATACGTAATCTGTGCACTGGCAACACCATGTCTCGTGCCCCTCCCTGAATTCCAGATTCATTTACCCCACTGCCTGCCTGCCAGCTGCACTGGGACATCTAATGAACGTCTAGCTTTAGTATCTCCCAAGCCAAGCGTCCGCACCCTCTCCCTTACTATCCCCAACACACGCATGGGTGGTCGGCCATCATCCCGGTCGCCCAGGCCAAAAACCCTAGAGCCATTCTTGATGCTTCGCTCACCTGTTCGCTCACCTTTGCTCACCTGGCTTGCTCTGTTGACAGCTCTGCTCTACCTTCAAAGTAAATCCAGAAGCCTGCTCCTCTCTCACCACCCCCTCCTGTGCCATCTATGGATGAGGGCTTCCTGGCCACACCTGTTTAAATCACCGCGTCCCCTACGACGAGCTCCCTCCTTTGCCCTTCTCTGTTCCTCCATGGCTCTCACCACCATCAACGTGCAACATGTCTTTCTTATCTTGTTTATTCATTATTAAGCTCCATAAGGACGAAGATTTTTGTCTTTTGTGGCTTCAGTGTCTGTAACAGAGCCTGGTGTGTCGTCTGCATTCCAGTAATTGCCGAGGGAACGAGTGCATGAGTGTACCAGTATCACGCAGTACTTTCACTGCTAAGCAAGCCAGGTCACCCAAGCATCGGGGTTCTTAAGCCCTGAACTTCTTGCTGTGCCTGCACCAGGACCATTTTCCCTAGTCCATGCACTCAGGGCCTGGGCATTTCCAGGGGGAGGGCCAGAGGTGCTGAAGGCCAGGCCAGTCAGGGCCCCTGGGCATTGTGAGGTCTGCTTTCCCCTCACACCCCTCACACGGCTGTCTGTGGAGCTGCCGTGGGCATAGCACCGGGGGTAGAAAAGGGAACTTCTGTCCTCTGAGGGCTCCCTTGGGAAAAGCAGTGAGTGAGTGAGTAGATGAAGGAGATTTGCACAAGCAAAACTGCCCAGAAGTACTGGTCTCCTTTCCCAGTTTTCCTTCAACACCAGGGACAGTTCCTTGTGACCAACTATCACTGTTACTCTCACTCAGTCACTGCACATGGATCAGGAGAGTTCTGGGACACAGCAAGGCCGGTCCTCTCGGAAGAAGGCTGGGAGACAGCTGGCTTGGGGGTCAGGCAGGCTTTGGCAACAGCTGCCCGGAGAGGTTTACTGCCTGCCTGCCTGGTGCGTTCAGAGGGCTCAGGGAGGAGCAGTGGGGCACCCAGGTCCAAACCCCCTTCCTCATCCCCCGTGACCAGGATCTGGAGAGGTGGCAGGGAGGCCTCAGCCTTGTGGACCCACAGTGGGACAGGCATGTTGTTCACACACTGAGAACTGGGTTGAGAGATGGAGCCCCCATCCTGAGCTAGGGGTACTGGGAAGCGGGAGAAGAAGGCAAAGTCAATCAGCCTTGCATTTTCTGGCTTCCCTGCCTCAGCGCCTGCTCTTCCCTTTCGTGCCCCCCTGCCTCTGTCCCTGACCTCGAGCTCCTTCCATGAATGCTTTTGTGACCATTCTCACTTCCTCACTGAGGCTGTATGCTCATTCGTTCATTCATTCACTCACTCACCTAACCTCTGACCTGTCTGTCTGGCACTTCTATTATCCATCTGTCTACTCATTCAGCAAATACGTGTCAGGTATCTGTCCTGTGCCCAGTACTCCTCTAGGCACTAGTGAACAAGAAAGGAAATCCCTGCCTTGTGGTGCTTACAGTTTAGCTAGGGAGACAGACAAAAGCTTGGCTGCACTAAAAGGTATATAGTGTAATCCCACGATGTCCTCGTAGCACTATGGCCCCGAAGAAAAGGAAAGCAGTGGGAACAGGAAATGGATGGTCAAGACCTCTAAGAAGGTGAAGAATGATCAGGGATCCAAGCAGAGTGAAGGGGAAAATCACATGAAATCCAGTGAAAGAGCAAGAGCAACCACCATGTGGCAAGAGCTCACTGAGTGTGTCTGCAAAACAAGGAAGTCCCAGTAGCTGGAGCTGGGGATGGGGTGGGGTTGGGGTGAGTTTGCACAGGTTAGCCAGGGCAGGAGGAAGAGAGCCCTGGAGGCGAGGACACTATCAGATTTGCATTTGCTTATTTGCTTATGTACTTTTCTGGCCTTCTGATGCATGTTAGGTTAATAATTCTTGCTTCATCATTCTCTCATCATTGGTCCGCGTGTGGCCTGTTTTGTGTGTTACTTACCTGCTCATGCATATATTTCGGTGCTGTAAGGACCCAGGAACCTACCCTCCAACAGGAAAACTAGCACGTGGTAGCAAAGGTTTTGCTGTTTAAAGGATCACTCTGGCTGCTGTGAAGAGAACAGACTGTGGGAGGTAAGAACAGACACTGAGAGGCCAGCAAGGAGGTGAGTATCAGGAAGAGCAGCCTGGACTGATCCCAGCAGAAGGGGAGAAGGTGGTTGAGTCTGGGACAGACCGTTGGATTGGGTGTGGCTTCATGTGGTTTCTACGAACCCATGCAGTCAAGAATGAAGTCGCAAATTATTGATTCATTCAGTGCTTGCTGGTTAACTGCTTACTATATGTTAAGTTCTTTACAAAACATGCATTCCACACGGTCCCTGCGCTGCTCACGGCCCAGAGGCAGAGATTAAAAAACACACTTAAAACACTTTGGAATAAGTGCTGAGATCCAGGAAACCCAGGGAAAGGAGAGAAAAACATGGTTAATATGACTTGCACAAAGGTGCTCAGTTACTGTCCCATCTCATGACGATCTGAGCAACTGATTAAATTCTTGAGTCGCGTATGTATTTATATTTTTTACTTTAAAATTATTTGTAATAATCGTATTTTTTAAATGTCTACATTTTGGAGCATAGACACAACTTCAAATACCAGTCAAAGGCTGTCCTCAATTAGTCTTCCAGACCTCAATCTCTCAGATAGTTAAGAACATGAAAGAGAATGGGGAAATTAAAGGGGAAACATACCTTTTCTCTCAAATAGATATATTTTTGGGACAGGCACACCGAGGACACAAATGACATCACTAAAGACAGGGGTCTAGTCTGGGAATCCCAGGTTCTGGATTTTAGTATTGCTGTTTGGTCCTGGGCAGCAGTGTCTCTTTCAAGGAAGGGGACGTGGCTGGACTACACGTAGGGCAGCAGGAGAAGGTTGTGGGGGAGGTGGCAGCGATGGTCAGGGCAGAAGCCATCCAGCATTCCAAAAATTATGTAACAACAGAATATTCTTTTTTTTCTAGAATATTTTGGAAATCCTGACAGAGGCTGCCACAGGGATGAACCTTGAAAATATTACACTGACTGGAATAAGCCAGGCACCAAAGGACAACTACTGTATAGTTCCTCTCATATGAGGTACCTGGAGTAGTCAGTTAATTGACACAGAAGGTAGAATGGCCATGGCATGGGCCTGGAGAAGGGGATGGGGAAGGGGAGTTAGTTCTAATGGGCACAAAGTTTCAGTTTAGGAAGCTGAAAATGTTCTGGAACTGGATGGTCACGATGCTTGCACCAAAATGTGAGTATACTTAAGACCACTCATATACTTAGAAAGGGGCAAAATGGTGCTTTTTTGTTTGTTTGTTTTTGAATATTTTATTTATTTATTTGACAAAGAGAGACACGGCAAGAGAGGGAACACAAGCAGGGGGAGCAGGAGAGAGAGAAGCAGGCTTCCCTCCGAGCAGGGAGCCCAATGCAGGCCTCGATCCCAGAACCCTGGGATCATGACCTGAGCCAAAGGCAGACACTTAATGACTGAGGTACTCAGCTGCCCTGAAATGGTGCATTTTATGTTGTATATATTTTACCACAATTAAAAGAATATATAAAATCCTCATTTTTCTGAGATCCCTCTGCATGGAGGGAAATTCCCACCTGGGTGACCAAGATTCCCTGACTTTCTAGCCCTTTCCACCCTCTAGGATATATCTCCTGCTGGACAGGAAGAGTAGAAGTAGACCTATTAGCAGAGCCCTAGGCAGCAAGGAACAAGTGGCCGGGCTTTGGATACAGATGTGCAAGGTCCCCAAATTTGCATTCAATCTGGCTTCCATGCCTCCCTGGTGTTAGGAAACTTGTGTCCTTTGTCCTCAACCACCTCCCCCTTCTTCTTCCCCCTCTTCTTCTTCCTCTTCTTCTCGTTCTCCTCCTCCTCCTTCTTCTAATATTATTAAAATTTATTTTATTGAGAAAGAGAGAGCACACAGAAACAGGGAAGGAGCAGAGGGAGAGGGAGTTAATCTCAGCTGACTTCACGCTGAGCACAGAGCCCAATGCAGGGCTCGATCTCCCTGAACTCATGACCTGAGCCGAAACCAAGAGTTGGGCACTTAACCAATTGAGCCACCCAGCCACCCCGGTCCTTAGTCTTCTTCTGAGAGCACAGGACAATGAGGGCCTAAGGGGGTAGGGGTGGGGGTGAGGCAGGTTTGGTCACCCTTGAGAGCTGAGGTGGTTGTGAGCAATTCATGAGGACAGGCCCAGGACCCTCATAGGAAAGTTTCAGGCCACACCAACTTTGAATGTTTTATTGATCCAGGCCTGGAGGATAACAGGATGGGTTCCAAGCAGGAACCAAGCCCAGGAAGGGAGGCCCCGTAGCTTTCAGACAAGGCTGGGAGGATGCAGACATGGTCTTCAGCTGTCCTTTACCTCGTCTCTGTAATGGAGATGGCAGTCAGTTTCTTTCTTGGCCGGCATATTGGTGACCTAGAGCCAGAGCCATCAGCTGGACTCTTTAGCCAGCGCCTTCAACAAACACCATCCCGGGAGCCTCCTCAGCTCTCTCACCTCCCACCTTGATCACCGCCACCAACACCATCATTTCCGTCAACACCATCATCCCCTTGAAGTTTACACAACTATCTTCCTCGTGGCCAACACCACCACTTACATGAAAAGCCTCACTCCTCACCGAAACTACTTTCATCTTCACCCTCCAAACCACCATCAACCACATCCTTGCTGTCTCCTCCCCAGCAGCCCCATTGCCAAACAGGCAGGCGCCTCTCGGTGATGCATCTGATTATTTCCGTCCCCATCACCTCGCACAGTACCATCATCAGGACATCACCACCATCCTCCACCACGCCGTCTCCCTTCCTGCGAGCACCCCCTGCCCCAGTCACCAGCGTTGCTTCTCCTGTTTCTACAAGAGGACTCACCAGGGGGCTTACAGATCCTCACGCAGATCTCCGTGGTCTCAAAATTGTTGGCATTGCCCTGACAACCACTGTAGGTAAAACGCTCACCCTCACTGGATGTGTCATTGTAGAAGTACCGGTAGAAGAGGCCTCTGCAGGGACCCCTAGTGAGGGGAGCTGGCACAGGGCAGGCAGAATTTGGGACAGCTCCCAGGGAGCCCCTTTCTTGAGATGGGCTACAGGGGTGAGGAAGGACATGTATTGTCACTTAGGTGTCCTTTGAAGGAACTGACACAGGCTGTTAGTTTTTTTTGTTTAGAAGCACACCTTCTATACCAAGCACTGTGCTAGTGCTTGCCATTTTTTTTTGCATGCTTTAAATGACTTTCTGGAGTGGACATTACTGTCCCTCCCCCACAAATGAAGAAACAGTTTCAGAGAGGTTTGGTCATCTTCCAAAACTCCTAAAACCAATCATTGAGGCCTCGGGTTTAAACCCAGTTCTGATTTCATGTCCCAGACTCTGCCTGCTACAGTTTCTTATAACCCAACTCAAGATAGTTGAGGTAGCTTTGTTTATGATCGCAAAAAAGCATATAATTTGGAAAAGATATTGACGTTCATCAACGGGGAATTGATAGGTTACATATAGTCATTGATACGCATAGTGCTGATCAAATGGAGGGAGGTTCATAATTTTGTGGAACAAAAATCAAATTTCAAAAGACAGGATCTAGAATCTAGGTCCTGTTGATGTAAAATAAATCTATAAACCCATGTAGTGATGACTAGAAGGTGGTTCACCTCTATATTTGTAGTAATTTTCCTGGGTGGTATAATTTCAAATGATTTTTTTTTTAAGATTTATTTATTTATTTATTTGACAGAGAGAGAGAGATCACAAGCAGGCAGAGAAGCAGGCAGAGAGAGAGGAGGAAGCAGGCTCCCCGCTGAGCAGAGAGCCCGATGCGGGGCTCGATCCCAGGACCCTGAGATCATGACCTGAGCCGAAGGCAGCGGCTTAACCCACTGAGCCACCCAGGCATCCCCTTCAAATGATTTTTATGTTCTAATTATTTTTAGTGTCATTTAAATGTCAATGAACAAGTATCACTTTTTATAACTAGGAAAAAGATATTTACAGTAAAAAATCTTCAGTATCCATGAATAATGAAAAAATAAAGAAATGGATATATTTTACCGAAACATCTGTTATTTTAACTCCTTTCACATCTGGCTCTGGTTATCACAAGTGATTTATCCGACACGTGTACACACAGACACAGAAACACACACACACACACACATACCCTTACCTACTAATTGGCTATGGATCCCAATGTATCCTTTCATGGGGTACAATACACCCTGCCTGTGGCCCTGTGGAGCCAGCCTCCCCACCCTATACCTCCCCTACCCCAGTCACAGGCTGTGGATCTCAGGGATCCTCTACTTAACCTCTCAGCTCACCTGAGCTGGTGATGTTCACCAGGCAGAAGAGGACGCAGAAGACAAGGAGCGATCTGAACTTTATGGTGCCAGTAGCTGAGTTTTCTAGGGTCCGGCCAAAGGCTAAAGTTATACCTGCAGCTGAAGCAGAAGGGCCCTATTCCTCTGAGTTGAGAGAAGTACCTGGCCTTTCATTACCTGGAAGAGGAAGCACCTTGGGCAAGGAGTTTGGGCCCAGAGGAAGTGGGTGTCTACCTGGAGGCCTTGCAGCTTGGCTTGAAGGGCTTCTTGGAGGCTACTGGGCAAGTGCCCTAAGTCAGTGTTTTTGCAGCATCTGGAATGCCAGTCCCTAGCCTCATCTACTCCAGACTTGAGTTCCTGTGACCTTGGACTGGTGACCTCAGTAACCTAAAGTGACTTTAGGTGGCCTCAGTTTCCCTATCTGTAAAATAAGTGGGCTGGACAACACAGTCGCTAAGAAACCAACTTAGCTGTTTTCCATTCTGTTATTACTGGTTCCCATCCAGATCCTTCCAGCTAGTTGTCTCGACATCCCAGGAGAGAAAACATAGCTCTTTGTTCACTGCTTTATTTATTTAATTTAGAAACAATGAGTTTATTGTTTTATATAAATCAACGTACTTATTTTTAAAATATCAAGCTATAGTGAATAGTAAAAAGAAGCAAATCCCTCCCCAAATTCTACTATAGTCCTGTGCAACAGAAATATAATGAAATACATTCCAGTATAATTTTCTAGTATCTGCATTTAAAAAAGTAAAAAGAAGAGGTAAGACTAGTTTTTTAAAAAATCTTTATTTATTTTAGAGAGACAGAGTGTGTAGGGGGAAGGGCAGAGGGAGAGAGAGAGAATTTCAAGCAGATTCCTCACTGAGCACAGAGCCTGATGTGGGGCTTGATCTCATGACCCTGAGATCACAGCCTGAGCCAAAATCATAAGTCAGATGCTCAACCAGCTGAACCACCCAGGCACCCAAAGACTACTTTTAATAATACTTAATTTAACTTAACATATCCAAAATATTGCCATTGCAATGTATAATCGACATGTAATAAACATACTAATGCAATATTTTACTTTCCTTCATACTAAGCTTTTGAAATCTGGTGTGTATTTCACATTTGTGGCACCTCATGATTCATACTGGCCATATGTTGCATGCTTAGCAGCCATATGTGGCTAGTGACTACCATATTGGACAATGAACTTCCACCACATAAAGTAACTATTAGAGTTTGCAGGTATTATTTTCTGAGAATTTTTGCATATTGCCTTAATACTAGAAAGAAAATTTGATGGGGTAAAAAAATCCTGGGTTATGTTTTCTTTTCCCAAAACTTGGGACCTGGGCAGACCTGGCTCCACTGAATTCTGCCATGGAACATTGCTAAGACGTTGCCTGAAAGTTTTTCTCCCTTAGGGGTTACTCTTTTCCTACCTGAATGTCTAAAGACTTCTTTGATTCTCTTTGAGACCCAGTAAATTAACAATGTTATTTTGGTATCATTCTGCATCTTTTTTTTTTTTTTAAAGATTTTATTTATTTATTTATTTGTCAGAGAGAGAGAGAGAAAGTGAGCAAAAACATGGGGAGAGGAGGCAGAGGGAGAAGCAGGCTTCCTGCTGAGTAAGGAGCCTGATGTAGGACTTGATCCCAGGATGTCAGGATCATGATCTGAGCTGAAGACAGATGCTTAACCCACTGAACCACCCAGGCTTCCTTTTTTTATTTTTAATGGGACATGGAGTGCTAAAAATCTGCAAATTTTTAAAAAAGATTTTATCTATTTATTTGACAGAGAGAGATCATAGGTAGGCAGAGAGGCAGGCAGGGGGGGGGCTCCCTGCTGAGCAGAGACCGCCCCCCCAACTCGGGGCTCGATCCCAGGGCCCTGAGATCACGACCTGAGCCGAAGGCAGAGGCTTAACCCACTGAACCACCCAGGTGCCCCAAATCTACAAATTTTTAAGAGGATTTTATTTATTTGAGAAAGAGAAAGAGAGAGGAAGAGCGTGAGGTGGGGGGAGAGGCAGAGGGAGAGAGACGAGTAGACTCCACACTGGGCTTGGAGCCTGCTGTAGGCAATGAATTCACAACCCTGAGATCAAGATCTGAGCCGAAATTAAGTTGGGCACTTAAGCCACACAGGTGCCACACAGATTTTGGATGGGGCAGGGAATTTTCTTCTATTATGCTTTTAATAAATTTTCTGTCCCTACTGTTGAGTTTTCTACTTAAGAGGCATAAATTGTGTCCGATTATCTTCACTTGTCCTCTAGTACTTGTTAAAAGTATGGCCACTGGAGACAGACAAATTTAAACATCAGCATTTCCACTCACATTCTGTGCTACCTCTGCCCATCTCTTTAACCTTTCTGGACTTAAGTTTCTATTTGGAGATAGCAATGGAAATTCCCTGTGTTTGAAGTCCCCAAGACCATGTTCAGATTCAACTCATGAAAAGGACTCATGGGACTCAGAAGTTGTTATAGTTAAGTTTACAGCAAATGGATACAAATTAAAATTAACAAAGGAGAAAAGCATAGGGTGTGAAGAATGGAGGAAATCAGGCACAGGCTTCTCTCCTCCAGCCTAGTTATACAGGATGTGTTTCATTTCCCCAGCCCAACACATTTGAAGTGTTGCCTATCAGGGAAGCTCGCCGAAGACCAAGTGTCTAGGGTTTTTATTGTGGTCAGGCACATGGGCAGGACCAACTCAGCCTAGCACAGGAACCTTGGATTTACGTGGTGAGCATTCATTCTCACAGCTCTAAGGTGCTTGGCCCACGCCCACCAATTTTCCAGCTTTGGCTTCAGAGATTCCCATCTGCTATTGATCTGTTATTCCTTGCTCAAGAAGATTTCTTTAAAGTGGAAATTGCCCTAAAGGCTTTTTATGACTTGTGCCTACTTAGAATTTAATGTGCCATTGGTCAAAGCAGTCAGAACTTCTTAATTGATTAACCCAAGTGTGGTTCTGATGACCATTTCAGAGGGAAGAAACTGGAGCTGAGGACACCCTATAGCAGTGAGCCTGTAAGGAATGCAGCTTCTTCTTAACAGCCTCCCCCCAGACCTGCTGAAAGGAATCCGCATTTCAACAAGATCCCCAGGTGACTCACAGGCATGATAAAGTTTGAGAAGGCTATTTACTGAGCATTTTGTCCCCTGCAGGCAGAAGCCTGGGGAGGTGGTGAGGTTACGCAATGAACAGGACTGACCCCAGGCTCTCCCCTTCCCCTTCCCCAACCCTCTCCCTTTCCCAATCCCCTCCCTCCCCATCGGCTGTCCCCACCCCTCTGCTGGGATGTGAAAAGCTCTGTCAGACCCTAGGTTTCCATAGGAGCCCTTCCAAAGGCTTTGAAGATGATCCCCTTCTGTCTCCCTGCAGTCCTCCTCCTTCTTCTGAGCCCCCTGGTAGCCAGCACCCCCCAGGGGATGAAATCAGTACCTCTTCCCCAAGTAAGTCCTGCTCACCTGTCCTCTCGAGGCTGGGGCCTGGAAAGGAGGGCAATTCTGTGAGGGGAGCCAAACCACTCTGCATGTCTTCAGGGAAGGTAGGAAGTTTTAATGGCAGGGATTTTTCATGACTCTAAAAAGTAAATCAGCACGTTTTCAGCTTTTAAAACATTATCCTGCCTAATGCTCATGGACCAGAACCTGAGCCTCATCTCTGAGATTCCCTGTTCCTGGTTTCTGCCTCTCCCCTGAACTGCACAGTAGTATAATGAAACAAATAACTCTTAGATCTTTGTCCCGCTTACAGCCCAGACTCTAGAAACGCTTGGGAGGTACTGTCTTTTGGATGCTAATGAATGGCCACAGGAAGGAGCCCCTGGATGGCTGCTGGAGGGTCTAGGGTCCATAAAAACTGCTCAGGTTATTAGGGGGTTGGGACTTTCAGCCCCTACCCTCACCCAGCCTCTGGGGAGGAGGAGGAGGAGGCTAGAGAATTCAGTCACCAATGGCCAAAGATTTAACCAACTATGCCTATGTAATGAAACCTTGACAAAAATTCCTACATATCAGGGTTCAGAGAGCTTCTGGGTTAGTGATAAATGGAGGTGCTGTGAGGGTGACCCTCTGAGTCCTCCCCCCGCCCCTTGTCGCATACAGCCCTCCATTTGACTGTTCCTGAGTTTTATCCTTGATAATCAACTGGTAATGGTTAGTAAAGTGCTTTCCTGAGTTCTGTGAGTCGTTCTAATGAATTATGGAACCTGGGCCAGCGGTGGTGAAGGAAGCTCTGAATTTACAGCTGGCTGGGGAGAAGTATGGGTGGTCCCAGGGACTCGTGACTGGCACCCGAATAGGGGGCAGTCTTGTGGGACTGAGCGCTTAACCTGTGGGGTCTGTACTAACTCTGAAGTTTTCTCGTCAGAAGTGAATAGACTTGTAGGACGCCCAGTTGGTGTTGGAGAATTGATTGATGTTGGTAGAGACAGCACATCTTTGGTGCCAGGGAAAAAACCCAGACTCACTAATCCCTGTGCTTTGGTGGGTGGTGGAGTGTGGCTCAGGGACAGGGGAGTAATGGGTGTGGGCAATGCCCCCAAAGTCCTATTATCTGCATTTCTACTAGTTATCTGCATTTTAACAATTTCCCACAGAAGTCGGGGGTTTTGTTATAGGGGTTGGGTTGGAATAGTATCTTGTCCTGACCTTACCACTTAATAGCCATATGACTTTGGGCAAGTCACCTATGTTCAGTTTTTTTACCTTTGTATGGGGGTACCTGCCACACAGGTTCTTTGAAAGGATTACCAACCATGAATACAAAGATTTAGTAAGGCTTCATGGCCCATGATGTCCATTATCCCCTACGATGTCTTGGTCTGAAAGACTTTGTCTACCTGTCTCCTTTCCCCAAGGAAAAAATAAGTCAGGTGTCAAACAACGATTTTATTTCTCCATTGTTGAAATGAAACAGAAGGGCCTGGAGCAGCTGAACAGAGCTTCTGCTGTGCCTGAGGCAAGAGGAGACAGAGAGCAAGAAATGCAGCGCTTCGGGGAGTTTGCCCAGAGGACCAAGGCTGTGCTTCTCCCAGCCTGTTGGAAAATTAGTAATAACCCAAGGCCCTTCCC